AAATATATTGTATATTGTTAGTTGTTATATGAGAAGAAATATACGTAGGTCATAAAAATGGGCTCCAGGTGGGTAGGTGCACTGTAATATTTGTATTTGTATACTGTTTTTTATTTGGATTTATATGTGTTATGTTTGTATTATTTGTATTTGAATAAAATTAATTAAAAAAAAAGACTTTAGTATTTCCCAGACATGCGAGGACGAAGGGGAAAAGTTGGGACAAGGTCTCTCTCCATCATCCATGGTGAGAGAATCCTTCACAAGTGCATTCTCTCTTCCGGAAGGATGCTTTGATTCCCACAATAGAGGAATGGTGGCCAAAGTTGATGGAGTTAGCAGAGTTGGCTAAGCTGACTGCTTTGATTAAAGAAAAGAATACAATTAGTTTTGTTTCCTGCCTGGAAACCGCTTCTGGACTTTGTGCTTGAGATGGGGAAAAAAATGAAACTTTGGTTTTGGGTTTTGCTGATTAGATACGTTTGTTGTTGTAGAAATGGGTAGTATGTATTATTATGTAAAAGTAAAAAAAAATTGAGGTTGTATATTATTACCTTATTCCACTGAGCTAAAAAGAGTTGGAAGTCACTGAAGAGAGTTTTGCTTCTCATCCAAGAAGCTTCTTCAGTTCTGACTGAATGGTGGAGGATGGAAGGATTTGTGCGCCTTGCCGTCATCTGGTTGCTGGAACTCTTTGCCAGAAAGGAATATAAATCTTTCCTGCCAGGAATTTAAATCCTTCCATTCTCCGCCATTCAGTCAGAACTGAAGAAGCTTCTTGGATGAGAAGCGAAAGGCCTTCAAGGAAAAATCAAGAAAGTCCAATTGCCTCTTGGAAAAAGCATCTTTGGTCCAGCCATGACCTGGATGATGGAGAATCTCCATTGACATTTTCACTTTTACTCTTACAGTTTTTTCTTCTTCCTCTTCTCCCTCCCACCCTGCTTTCCTAATTATTTTCATTTCTCTTTGCATTTCTACATGTTATATTTCAATAAACTGACAACGTATTTCCTTTCTTCCCAGGGGTCTCTATCTCGCCTCCATTTTCTACAAGGATGACAATATTCTGGTGACCCCCGAAGACCAGATCCCGGTGGTGGAGATTGATGACACCTATTCCTGCTTGCTTATGCAGGATTTCCTCTGGTTCACCAAGGTGAGCCCCTTTTTAAATTTTAACGGTTTTAGCCATGTGTGCCACGATCGGATCGGTAAGCCCTTTGTGGCACAGCTTCCCAGAGGGAAGACTCTGTGTTCAGACCTATCTGCCTTTGGAACCAGATTTTCCTGCTTCAATTAACATCTGGCGACGTGAAGTGTCGCCATCCCTCACCCTGGCTTTAGGCATTCTTCACCTAAATTCGCTCCATATGTTAATTAAGGCTCTTGACTTGATATAATGCCCTGCTTGATGTATAATGACTGTTTTTAGCAGGTTTTTAATTTGCTGCTTTTAGGGGGTTTTAATTGGCTGTTATTGAAGAGTTTAGCGATAGCGTTTCTTTCTCTTCATCCAAGGAGGTGCAGTGAAGTGTCACCTTCCAAAATAGCCTCTTTTGAATCTTCCTATCAATACGGCTTTTTATATATATATATATATAAAGCATCTTCTTGGCAGAAAAAGGGGACCGGAGATGTTTGACAGAGTTGATCTCGGTTTGGGGTAGGCGTCCAACCTGCAGCCGAGCCTGAGAACCTTAACCTGATTGGTGCACACCCTTTTTGTTGTGTTTGCCGTAGGTGTCGTGCATGTGGGATGAAATCATGTGGCTACGACAGTGCGTTTCCGTCTCCCAGTCTTCCTGTTCATGCGTTCTCCAAACGCGCTTCAAGATGCTGCTGGCCATCTCACAGATGCAGGTAAAAACGGCGTCTTCCCAAGATTTTAGAACACACCTGTCCAGCGCATACAGGTTGTCCCTGACCAACGGTCGTCGTTGGGAATCAGAATTTCCCTTGCTAAGCAAGGCAATTGTTAAGTAAGTCACGCCTGGTTTTATGACACTTTTTTTTTGCTGCGGTCGTTCAGCGAATCCCATCGTCATTAAGCAGATCCAAGTTAAGCTCTTTGGCTGCAACATCTTAAAAAGTGTGAAAAATGTCCATTTTACAGGTAGCCCAACTTATCAACCACAATGGAACCCAACCGTTCTGTTGCTAAAACAGAAGCATTTGTTAAGTTAGTAGTGTAGTTGTTAAATTAGTAACATGGCTGTTAAGAGAATCTGGCTTCCACACTGACTTTGCTTGTCAGAAGGTCGCAGAAGGGGATCATGTGACTCCGGGACATTACAACTGTCATAAGTACGAGTCAGTTGCCCAGCGTCCGAATTTCGATCACGTGACCTTGAGGATGCTGCAATGGTCGTAAATGTAAAAAACGGTCATAAGTCACTTTTTCCCATGCCGTCGTACTAGTCAAGAACCACCTATACATAGTAAAGAATGGTGTCATTTTCTTACCAAGGAAAACATGAAACATCCACCTAGATCAGGGGTCTTCAAACTCAGCCCTTTTATGACTCGTGGACTTCAACTCCCAGAATTCCTCAGCCAGGCACGCTGGCTGAGGAATTCTGGGAGTTGAAGTCCACGAGTCATAAAAGGGCCGAGTCTGAAGACCCCTGACCTAGATAATTACACCCCCAACTGCATTGCGCGCCTGCAAACCTGTAGTAGATACACCATCTGAGGCTGTCACCTCTCTCTCGGTTGCTCTGTAGGGTCTGCTAGGAATCCAAGACCTGGGTCAGGTGTTCTTCGAACCCATCAAAGACAAGCAGGGGAACATTTTGGTGGTCACCCTAAAAGAAGTGAAGACCACCCAGACTTTTGAGAGCGTTCGCTGGGTCCCTCTCTTGAAGCTGCAGACCACTCGCAAGTCAATTTCTTCCCCCGAAGAACCTACAGCTCTGGATGTCCTTCTCATGACCATGCAGGTAACTCATTCGGCCTTCTGAGCAGAAAAGACAAGGTCCTCCTTCAGTTATTGGGGGGGGGAATATCACTTTTAATGTGGCATGTCTCAATCTTGGCAGCTTGAAGATAGGTGGACTTCAACTCCCAGAATGCTGCAGGCAGCAAAGCTGGGGAATTCTGGGAGTTGAATTCCACCCCTCTTCAAGCTGCCAAGATTTAGAAATACTGCTTTAATGGCAGGAGAAATGATTTATACAGAGGCTGTCACAGATCCGGAGTATCTCCAGGTAGGTTATCTCTGCTAGGGTGCACTAGAGGAGACCTCGAGCTTGGATTTTGGTAAGATGCTTCCAGTCTAATCAGAAAATACACTGAATGTTTAACAAGCTGCTCACAGTTACCCTGTGCTAAGATGAGTGCCCAACACTGGTATATAATTAAGCCAGTAAGTAAATAAGTAAAATACCAGTGGCCAGACAGAATTCAATGGCTAATAAATTTGATAGATAGATAGATAGATAGATAGATAGATAGATAGATAGATAGATAGATAGATAGATAGGTAGGTAGGTAGGTAGGTAGGTAGGTAGGTAGGTAGGTAGGTAGGTAGGTAGGT